TCACAAATTCTTCCCGACAGGTACAAGAAAATCCTCGTATCTGCTCCTGGGTGTTGATCCTCGCTCTGTCCAAGCTTCAACCACAGTTTAGGTGATCGCACTTTACTGTGTTCCACCCACGCTAGCCATGCCTGAGCACTGCCTACTCACTCAAACGATGGATAAAAGAAGTCCTTTTCTAGAAAATTAACTTGCTTAGTTCCTTACAGAGATTACCCAGCTCTAGGAACTGAATGAAAAGCAGTTGTTAGCTTGGTGCTTAGCATCCCAAGCTTCTCTGCAGAGTTACCAGTTCCTCATTTCAAGCTTACAAGATTTTTCAGGTCTTTCTGCTGCTGGGGCATGGGGAAATGTGGTTATTGAGGACAGAAACGCTCTCTTGTAGGCTCCCCGCGACTATCCCAAGGTCGACAAGTGTTGGATAACTGCAGGGAGGCCATGCACGTGTGTATGGGACTAGCAGCATCCGTCCCTTCTTTGAGAGCTTGGTGGATTTTAATGTTAAATGCCAGAATTAAGGTCTGAGTGTGGCTCCATCCTACTGGTTATTTTCCCTTCTCAAAAACCAGTCTACTCTGTGTGTGCAGAACTGACCCAAATCTGTCCCCGTGTTCCAGCAGACAGCGGTAAGTCTGCATTAAGAACCCTTGGAAATTTCCATCCGCACTCGAGCATTACGGTAGCAATTTGAAGTAAAACTATTATGCAATATGGGATCTATAAATGGGCAGAGGTCAGCTAACCTGTGTTACTGCTACGAGCTGCAAATAATTCTGCAAGTTCTCATTCAGTAACAGTTGTGTAATCGTTGAGACTATCAGTCTCCCAAGATAAATACGGTAAAGATAAGGCAGTGTCAAACGAGTTGCCTTTGCCTGCTTTATTGCTTTTTTAAAAGAGCTGACCACGGATGCTGGCTGCGCTGGGGTCTCTCCTTGCAGCAACACCATTGTGCAGCACCGAAATACGTTGTCGGTAACGTTTTTTATAGACGTGCAGTCGCAAGTCTGTCCTATGAAATGTGCTGGCACTGATTCAGCAGAGACTCCACATACGCTCGAGTCCCACACTTCAGCATTGTTCTATGTTAATGGCACTTGAGCTTGTCCTTCAGTGTCCGCTGAAGTGCTTTTTTGAGTTTGGGTGCGATGGTTCGTATAGAAAAGCAAATGAAAGGTTGCGGATCCGTGGGATGAAGCAGAGAGAAACAGAATGAAACGTTGCAGGGGGTGGCTGGATAGAATAGGGGGTTTCTGTCCAGGTAGATGGAGATGGGAAATGTTCTCTACGGTTCCTAAAAAGGATCTTTTGAAGCTGATGCTTGTTTTGTACCACCATTTCCTGTACTAAACTAATTGACACAGTTGCTGTTGTCATTTATTTAACAAATCGGTGCAAGCACAAACAAGGACAAAAATAAGTGTCTGCTAATATGAACAGATTTATCTGTTCTCATCCCCACGCCTTTTCCCACGAGCGTAGTTTCTGTCAAGCTTACTGAGTAAACCTTGGTGCCAAGTATTTAATCTTATCCGCGAGGGGCAAAGGGTGCGAAGAGCTGGGTGGTTTTCTTTGTGTGTTAGGGGCATCTCTAAAGAAAAGGCAGGTGCTGGAGCAGCCTCTTCTCAGAATGACAGTGGAGTAACGTCGGATTGCGATGGAGCTTAAATTAGGTCTGCAGCAACCGCTTATTACGTGTTGGGGAAAGCGTTTTCTGCTCGAGAGCTGTGAGGGCAGGGAAGTCGCAGTTCAGGGTAAGCATGTGAGAAATCCAACACCACCTCTGCCAATTCGTGATGATAAATATAGACGATGTATATTGCTGCTCTGATTGCATGGGAGAGTCCCGGCAGCCCCGTGCGTGCCGAGATGATGCTGTTCCCTTCGAGGCCTGGTGGAGCCCTCGGGCAGGAGCTCCTCGCTCTGCCCGTGCTCCTCTGGCTGGCAGTGGGACTTCTGACCACGCTGAACAACTCCATGTCCCTTTGTCTTGCGGCTCCTCTGGCTCTTCTCAGTGTAGCACAGCTGAAAACTTGGGGTAATTCCTACATGGGTAGTTTGTATTTTTTCCTTCCGTGCTGCCAGGGCCCGTCCTGCCCCTTTGCTGGGATGAGTTGGTGATGAGCCAAGTGGCTGCTCGGCCTCATTTGTCCATCAGGAGGTTCAGGTGGGATTTACGTGCTTGAGAGCACTCAGGAGCCACAGCTGACAGGTGCTGAAAATAGCATCCTTATTTTATTGCTTTGGGTTTGTCCCTGTATTTGATGTTAACTTGGATTACGTACAGGGAGTTTTATTTCCCCTTGTAACCGTCCTCACGCCGAGGCAGTGGTTGGAGAGCAGCAGCGTTCCCCAAACTCCAGCAAGAGACTACCAACTGAACTGCTCAGATAGCAGCACATCAGCCACGGCCCTGCAAAAAATGTTTTCTCTTCCCTAATCTTCCAAAACAAATCAGTCGGTGTTTTTCACAGTGCTGATATTTCCCGAGCCGGTTGCCTCCAGCGGTTTTTCCGTCAGTGCTGCGTGGCAGGCACGGGATGCCCAGGCAGTGCTGGCGGGCACTTGGCTGGAGCTCCTACTGATGGGGGGAAAAGTTCCCTCAAGATCACAACATTCGGTCCTGTGCTTAGCAATAATTAATTCCTTTGTTGCCTGAAGGCAGAGCATTTCCTCTAGAAGGCTCGGACAAACATCCCTGCTCCCTGAAGAAAAGTGGTAAATGTTTAAAAGCCAAGGACGTGGAGTTAATCTTCACTTTTGGGCTGTGACCCGCCAGCACTCCGGGCGCGATGGCATCGCTGGCAGCAGCGTTCCTGCGCCGTGTCCGTGGCGGCAGCGGCTGGGAGGGGCCGTTTGCTGCCTCTGCCCTGGCCGAGGAGCGACGGAGCCGTGGGCTGGCACCCGGGGCTCGTCCACGCCGCTGCCCGGCGCTGCCGGTGGCCGCTCGGCCGCCTCCTGGTGCGCTGACACGAGGCAGCAGAGCTTGTTCAGCGCTTTGAGCTGCTGGGGGGAAGCGCCAGGTGAAATCTGGATATGTGTTACACTGGTCTCTTGTCATGAATACCCCCAAAACCACCTGAAACGTGGATTCCTTTCGCCCGAGTTAATGCCTCCAGTGAAACCCTGGGCTGGTTGTGCTGGGCGGCGTGGTGATGGATGGATTCGATGTACCTGGGTCCAGGTGGTTCTGCTCTGTGAGCTGATGAGCTGGGTCAGGTTTTTTCCTGTTCCACGGGTCTGTGTAGGGGGGGTCAGAGAGGAGCCCCAAAGACCAACCAACCCCAGCACTCACTGTCCGTATCCCAGTGATTTCTATAACCTGATGCCAAGACCTTTTGTCTGTAGGAACCAAGCTCTGAGGAGGGGGAACGCGTTGACAGAGGCTTGTTTAGAGGTGCCTGAACTGGGTTTCCCTCAGAGCTCTGGCCCAACCCTTGTCTGTCGTGTGGCCAGCAACAGCCCTCCCTGGGACAGGCAAGTGGAAATTTCCTTCCCATCCCCAGCATCTTGTGAAAACATCATAAAACATCCGTGGCGTTCTTTACCCTTGCTTACAAGAGGGGAAAAAAAAAATAAATCTATAAGCCCCAATCCTTGATTACCCACTACAAACACAAAACGTGGCAGGCAATTGCTCAAGGAGGTGAAATGCCACAGCGCTCGTCTCCTGCGGGGTGGGTTGTGTCCCCGCTCGGGCCCGATCCCTCACGGGCTGTGGGGAGGTTCGGTTTGAAGCGTCTGAGCAACATCAACTTCCCTGGCCAGCTGGTGGGTCCCTTTGGCACCCTGGCCAGCCATTCTCTGTTTGAGAGCAGGGCGAGGGGAGTAGGGGCCCCCCAGCTTGAGGAGCCCTGGGCAGGATGAGGGTTAAGGGCTCAGGGAACCAGCTTTGGCCGTGGTTCAGGCAGGCTCCTTGGGTAACTCGAGGCAAATCGGTCACTTCACTCTGGGCTCTGTAGGATTTTTATTTACCTGCTCTCTGTGGGGATTGCTGATAACTCTCCACGCTGATGCTGTCTTTAAGATTTTAAAGCCCTCTAAGCGTTACTGACGTAACACAAGTTAAATCCCGTGTGTGTGCCATGCCCAGCAGTACCAACGTTGGGCAGTCTTTGGAGGCGTCTGCCCTCCACACCTAAGCCAGGGCACTGCTCCGAGTCCTGGGCTGGCTGCGAGGGGCCCCAGCTTGCCTCCCCCAGGCAGGGTGATGCCTTCCTTGGGGCGCAGCCTGCCCCCCCTGCTCCTCCCGTGTCCCCTCCCACACGTGTTTTGGGGCTCTCAGCTGCACCGTGCTGGGAAGGGCTCTTGTCTCTTGTGTTACGCCTGGGCTTAGACTTAGAGCTACACCTTGGCCAGGAGTGATTTTTTTTTTTTTTTTTTTTTTTTT